TTTTAAAATGTATCTAAACACAAAACATTAAACTATATTTACCATCGGGTTTAGCCGTATCAAACATTTGGGACACACTGTCTACAAACTCATCAGCAATCACTTCCAGTGACGGCATAATAGCCTTGAGTTTAGATGAGGTAAAAGCCGGGGAACAAATACTGCGGATTCGTTTCCAATCGACATTACCCGGCAAATTGAACATGTTCAAATTAATTGAGTCCTCCCCGAAGTACATTTCCCGATTGTCCCTAAACTTATCAAAATGTGTGACAAACACATCCCGTATTAGTTCGGGTTCGTTGATCACTAGACCTCGTCTGAAGAATTCATAGTAGCCATAGATGTGACCGAACTCTTCGGCATTCTTCAGGTCGTTCTCGTGGACAAAGCCCGGCCTATATATGGACGGCTCCAGACCCTCGTGTCCGCCCACCCCCTGCTTCTCCCAGAATGTGAACCTATGTTTCAGATATCTATGGATTTAATAAACATTTAATTAGATTTTTAAATATTTTATTAAAGGTTTTATAAAATGAATATGAAATATACTTTTTTGTTAGAAAATATGCTGAAATAATGCCGATTAATGTTGTGATGACAATCATGTTGTGTTACGTTTATTACATTAATGTTTTATATTCGCAATATGAAGGTAAATACAACAGACAACTACTTTTATATCTCAAACACTGAATGAAATATACGTAAATTGCAATACAATTGCCTCAACAAATTGTTTGAATGTCATGCTCTCAACCGGCAAACAATTAATCCCCTAGCTTATATACACATGTCCTTGGTCATTTTAAGTATTTCAAGTAGGAGACGTAAAATTGAGTTACTTCATCAAGATAAGCGGTATCATTATTTATTGCAGGTTAGTTGATTATTGTATTGAATCAAAAACTTTAAACATACAGCATGTTGTATTGTTATATAAAACACTTCACCATAGGTGTTGTTTATTTATAAAAGGGCAGCAACTTGTAAAATATGATCATCCGGGAAGCTGTGCTTAAATCAAACTCTTTGTGTTTGCATAAACATGAACATTGTAAATAAAGTTTATATTGTGATTATAAATATCATGTAATGTGGATAACACTTATTTACAGAATAAGCACATAAAAGTTACAGTAGGTGTTACTGAAATTCTCAAATTGTAAATAAAATGTTTTAAATAAAATTGCATTATTCTTACTTAATTGTTAATTAATAATTGATATTATTTGTATAATTCTCTGTATTTAACGCTAGGCTGGGATGTCATGTTATTAATAATAACTTATTATCCATGATGAAATAAACTAAATATTATGCATTTTAATTTTAAAAAACTTTAAAATATATAAAAATAACTTTATATTATATAATATATTATGAAATTTTTATTTAATAATTACTAATCAATACAATTATTGGATTTTGAATTATGTTTTGAATGTCATATTTCTTTTTTATCATTTATTTTAAAAACTAATTGTATTTTTCCTTGAAATGACTGAAAATATAATTAATGTCTTAAATAAATAAGAAATTCTTATTTATTTTAACTTATTATAAAATTTATTAATGACTTTATATTACTATTTATACATAACTAATATTTAAAATAAAATATTTACAATTGAAAGTAAAATGTTTTAATATTTATGTGAAATATGCCGTAAATTTTCCACTATTTTTAGATTAATTTTAATACTGAAATATTTATAATAAAAGTTTATTATTTTAAATATTAGAATTAAAAGTAATTAAATTCTCTAATTTATTATAATATTAAACAATAATTACACAAAATTTTACCAAATGAATAAAATCAGTGATAAATACAATTATTGGCAGAAAATTAAATCCAAAAATGTGATCAAAACTTTGGACTCATTTACTATTTCATGGCATTCATTGTCTTATAAGGTGTTCACCAAAAAGTCTTTAATATCATTATTTGGCAGTGAAGAGAAAACAATAATTAACAATGTGCATGGTCATTTTAATAGTGGTACAATTACTGCAATATTGGGTCCGTCGGGCGCCGGAAAGTCCACATTATTGTCGTGTATTACTGGTCACAGGAGGACAGGTTTGACCGGATCTATACGTATAACAACGGATCAAAAGGTCAGTCCCATAAATAAGGGGTTTTAAATACCTAGTTATTTATTTATAGAAATTGTAAATTATTTATTTACAGCAATTGAATATCATGATACTAAACATCACTTATAAATTTAATGTTAATAATCTTGTAACCTTTTGCATGAAAAATTTACTCATATGAAATTGTTTTGTTAATTTATAATAAAACAATAAATAATATAGCAAATAATTTAAATATTATATAACCTAAAATTGTAGGTCAAGTTTGCGTTGACCTCCGGAGCATTGATTAGGCTTCTGGTCCGCGCAATCGGAGATCTTAAGCCTATGTAGTATTTCGCGAGCGACAGCCGTGTGCTCAACGCTCGCCAGGTTTTGTAGTCTCGAC